AACTATCGGGAGGAGTAAAATGGTAATTTTACTAAAATTTCTAAAAATGACCTTTCAGGTCATTACAATAAGAATAACATAAATAATATTTTTAAGAAAATAACAAAAATAAAAATAAAAAAAATAAAAGGAACAAAAGAAATTTTAAAAGTTTCATGTAATGACATGGGTTAATTACACTCAATTCCGAACCCTCCCTTGGAAATTGAGGAGTGTAATTACTACCCTTCAATTACACTTAATTGCTCTCTTGCCAAGTAATGAATTTGTCTACCAAACATATCAAAGAGTGTAATTACCCAATTACGTTCGGTCTTTCAAAATAGGCATAAGAGGTAGTAATTTTTACCAAGGGTATTTTCTCATATACTAGTTTACACTTTAAAAAATTTCACTTTAGTATAATATGATATGATATGATATGATAAGTTTATTCTATTTCCTTTATTATATATTTTTTCTATGAAGTTTTTAACGAGGTAAGCTATTTATATTTGCATGAAAATTCAAAGGATTGTGTTATGAAATAATTAGTGTTGAGATCGATTGCTCTAGAAAGAAATCCCCACTAATCCTAATAACTATTATTGGTTCTAACTAAGTCACACCTCCCTAACCTACTCTATGATCTCCACTATGTTATGTCATTTTTATGACAACTTCTTACATCCCTCGATACAATCTCATAAATTGTGGTACTCAATATCACATTGTACATACGTACTAAGACACTTGAATATACTTGAAACAAATAAAAAAATCATTTTCTTGTCCTCTTATCTCTTTTACTCCCCCGTTTAAAAAAGAATGACCTGGTTTGACTTGGAACAGAGTTTAAAAAAAGAAAGAAATTTTTTTAATCTTGTCGTTCTAAATTAAAGTTATGTCAAATGTACCAAAATGTCTTTTAATCTTGTGGTTTTAAACATGCTACGTGCAAAGTTGAAGTTAAAGTGTTGTCAAAAAAGGAAAGAAATCTGTCACGCCCCGAGACTACACCCTAGACGTGGCCGGCACTCGAAGACCATTGCTGGTCCCCAAGCGAACCCTCATCCTGGCTGACTCCAAGCGGAATACTAACTTAAGCATACAAGAGCTTAAAACTGAAAAAAAAGTTTATAAACTCAACTTTACAAATCTTTAACTCAAAAGAAAACTCTGATAATAGAATATATATACAACTCGCCATAAAAGGAAACTTTAGTCTTCAAAACATTTAACAAAATAAATGAAGAGACTTTTGAAACTCTATTGTCTATCTATGAAGCCTCTAACTGATAAAGATGGAAGCCGGGACAAGACCCACGACCTCCTAACAACTGATACAACTGAAAGGTAAATGAAATCCTCCTGAAGCAAAGAGGCTTGTCATAGCTAACTGGAACTCCCGGATGTATCAACGAATCTCCTGTTGATGATCTTGAATACCTGTGTCTGCATCATAAAAAGATGCAGGCCAAATGGCTCAGTACGTGGAATGTACGAGTATGTAAGCTGGAAATCTAAACAACATAGGCTAGAAGAAACACTGGAATAAACTGAATAACTTACCTCTTTTTCAAACTTTCTCAACTCAAGGAATACCCAAAACTACTCAAACTTACTCAACTCAGAAGATAGATACTGGACTCAGAGACAGATACTCAACTCAAAGATAGATACTCAACTCAAGGATATATACTTAACTCAAGATATATACTTAACTCAAAGATACTTAACTCAAGGATACTCGACTCTTGAATAACTGAACTCAACCTGACTGACTTCTTTCAATATAAGGCAATTTAAAACAAGTGCGATATAAAGAAAGACTGTTTAAAACATGCTATAAACTCTGAGTGTATACAAGGATACAATAAGCCTGAGATGTATATAGAAATACAATTGAACTGATGTATATAAAATACAATAATTTCTGTGTATGAAAATACAATAACTGTTGTGGGAGTTTCTCTAACCGACAACCATCACATAAGAGCTATAGTGATGATACAGCGATCGACCTCACGCTGCCAGAGCATCTTATACCCGGCCAAAGGTATAAGACCTGAACTGCCTAATGGATCCACTAGTCTAATCTGAAAAGGATTCATCTAAAAAGTATGATCCTTTTCTACCCATGGTGGCTAACATGGTTCTATGGGGCTGTGGGTTCTTTGAACGCTCCCCCAATTCGGTGCTCGATACTACTCCCAAAAATGTACTGGCTCTTATGTTTTTAAAACATATTTATTCCTGCTGATATGAGATAATTACTCAAAAACTAGCCCGAAGGCTCTTTTGGAAATCTCAGTTTCCAACCTTGTTTAAATGTAAAAACATTTCTTTAAAACTTCTTTGGGAATACATAGTTCCCTAATAACTTTGAGAAATGAACTCAACTCTTTACTCTTTACTTTACTTGAAACTCGATACTTTGACTCAACTTGAAACTCTTAACTTGGAACTCTTCATTCTTTACTTAACTTGAGCCTTAAAATGAAGTTAAAACGATCAATGAAGACTCTTGGAAAACCTTAAAGACTTGTTTTGACTTACTTACTTCTAAGCTTGACTTCACTTGACTTGGAAACTAACTTCACTTGACTTTGAAACTAACTTCACTTGACTTGGAAACTAACTTCATTTGACTTTGAAACTAACTTCACTTGACTTGGAAACTAACTTCACTTGATTTGGAAACTAACTTCACTTGACTTTGAAACTAACTTCACTTGACTTGGAAACTAACTTCACTTGACTTTGAAACTAATTTCACTTGACTTGGAAACTAACTTCACTTGACTTGGAAACTAACTTCACTTGACTTTGAAACTAACTTCACTTGACTTGGAAACTAACTTCACTTGACTTTGAAACTAATTTCACTTGACTTGGAAACTAACTTCACTTGACTTGTAGTTTTACTTGACTTTGAAACTAATTTCACTTGACTTGGAAACTAACTTCACTTGACTTGTAGTTTTACTTGACTTTTGGAAGTACCTTGGAGTGTTGGAAACAACTAGGAAACATAGGTATAATACCTAGGAACATGTATGAAAAAAATGGTAAATGAAAGGGAAGGATTGGTGTCCTTGGCACTAGGAGAGGTGCGACAGCCCAGCCCCTTTTTCCCCAAAAATCCTTCTTTTTCCCCTTGTTTCTTTCCAATTCTAAACCCTCTCAACCTCAAGGTTTCAGCAGCAACACTTAGAATCATAAAGACCCTTATTATACAATAGATTCAACTCAAAAATCACAGCCAGAAATCTGTACTAAATCAGCAAGAACTTCAACACAACACCACTACAACTTCAACAACCAATAAATCTTCTCTTGGAATTAAAAACGAGTTGGTGTGTGGGGGTATGAACCAACCAACACTAAGGATCATAAAATCCCTCAATATACAATAGGTCACAACTCAAATACACAGCCCAATCCTGTCCCACAACCAACAATAACTTCAACAACACAACTAACAACATCAACAACAACAACAAATCCAATCTCTTCTCAAATCATAAAAACGAGCTTGGTATGTGGGGGGAAAGGATAAACCCACACTAAAGACTCACATACCTGATTAGGGATCACCCCCGACAAAAATCCACGACGATCCTTAGCTTCTTCTTCTCTTTCTCCTCTTCTTTTCCTCTTCTTTCTCTCTTATCTTCCAAGCCCTAACTCTCACTCTTACTCTCACTCTTTAAAATGGGACAAAAATGATCCAAACATCAGTCTAACACCTCAATATAACCCAAAGAAAAGATTAGGGAAAAGACCAAAATACCCTTAAAATTTTCGGACTAAACAAACTGCACTGTGCGACTGTGCGACTGTGCCAACAACCCAACTTCCAAAGGGCATAAGTCACTCATACGAACTCGGAATCAAGCAAACTCGGCGGCGTTGGAAAGATCATTCCAAGGGCTTTCCAGAGATAACTGGAAATTCGCCTAAATCATTCTGAGCTAGGAGTTACGACTGCTCAAAGTTGACCAAAAACTCACTTTTTTTCCATAGCCAAATTTTCCAGATTCTTTCCAAAATGACTATTTCCAATTCAACTCTTCTTGGAACTCAATGTGCTACATCTAGGGATCTTAACTTAACACTCAAGAAATTTTATTCCTCGGTAAAATCTCACTCCACATAAAGGACGGCTCGAGTCTTAGTTCGAAAATTCTCTAGGGTGTTACAAAATCATTCTTTTTTAAACAGACTAAAATGAAAATTGGGTCATTCTTTTTGAAACAGGGAGTATCTACTTTCTTATTTTATACTCCATCTGTTCCTAATTATTTGTCCACTTTTGAATTGACACACCTATTAAGAAAATAATTATTGACATAGTAAATTTATCATTTCCCCTATTAATTATGAAGTGGATGAATTAAAAATTTAAGATTTTAAAAAAAGTTCTACCTTTCTCAAAGTAATTAATTAAATGTATAATAGGTAAAAAAAAAATTGTCCTTTCTTGATTTGTCAAAATGGACAAGTAATTAGAGACAACTATAAAATGAAAAAGTGGACAAATAATTAGAGACATACTAAGAAGTATTACTATTATTTTATAAGTATCATTTTTATTTTGGGCAACTTAGTGATGATTATTGGTGGACAGGGAAGGTAGAAACTTCCTGATAGCACCTCTAATATGACCATAAAAGGGTCAATGGAAGTTTCGACGGCGAAACAATTTAAGTGCGCATGACTTGGTAATAAACTACTAGTACTATAATATATATATATTGTAGGATAGTAGGTAATTACTGATTAAAGAATGTGATAGCAATTGCAAATTTGGCTGTAAAGTGCCAAACACTTGCAACAAGAACACTAGTAAATTACATTTATTATTCATTTCTCTTTTCTCTTGTTCATTCCTCCAATCTCTAAGAACGTAGATGCAATTCACAGGCTCAAGTAGTTTTCCTTTTCATCTAAAATTGATCATCGTTTTGTTGGGGACATTTTGTGATGCGGATCCTCGGATTTCAGAAGCAGGGCAGGTGTGTGGCACGAACATGACATTGCCGTCCATTATCATCCCACAGTATACTAAAGAAATGCAAGTGATTACCCAGCTTGTGAGTGAACATGGATGGGGCAGCAGCTATGCTGTTAATTCAACAGATATTTCGATATACGCTTTAGCAAATTGTTACCAAGATCTTCCACCTAACGACTGTGTTCAATGCTTCCTTATAAGTTGTTCTAAACTCCCTACTTGTCTCCCTGCTGTATCTGGTCGTGTTTATCTTGATGGTTGTTTCATCCGTTATGATTATTACAACTTCTTCGGGGAAACAACTGATTCTTTCAAAGATAAAGTGAACTGTAGCAGCTCCTTTGGAAGGGCTGTTACTGATTCAGATCAAGTGGCTTTGGCTGCTGCAGCTGGAAATTTGATTGAAAACGTGACGAAAAAAGCAATTAATGAGAGTGATGGGTATGCAGTGGGGAAATTGAATGGAATTTATGGATTGGCACAGTGTTGGAGAACAGTGAGTAAACAAGGTTGCAGAGAATGTTTGGACAAGGCAAGTGAAGCTATAAAGGGATGTTTGCCTAATAGGGATGCTAGAGCTTTAATGACTGGTTGTTATTTGAGGTATTCCACTCACAATTTCCTCATTCATCATTCTCAGGCTACTAATAAAGGTATCTATATCACTTCTCTTTTCACCATACCAACTCTATTCTTCGGTTAATCAATAGACTTTTGAAAATTTACTTCCTCGTCAACATATCTCTTTTTATTTCTTCTTTATTAAGGGCTCGTTTTGTAGGTGGATAAGAAATAAGTTATTTATGTTATTAATTTCTGCATAACTTATAATACTACAATTGGCAAGTATATAGGAAATAAGGTATTCATTTATAAAATTAATAGGACATTTGGATGACAATTTAGAAACTCGGATAAATAATATATGTATAAGTTATGAGATAATTTTTATATATATTATACAGAATAGAATGTGGAATAAGTATTAGCACATGTATAACTAATATCTGCATAAAGTAATACATAAATTCACTCATAACTAATCCTACATTGCTAATACCTCTATAATTCTCACCAGCAACCAAACAACCTAAGGGTGTGTTTGTTATGGAAGAAAACATTTTCGCTACAAAAAACATTTTCAAGCTGTTAAGGATTATAACTTGTAAGTAGCCAACAATGACGAGAATTGCTAAGAAAAGAAAGCAGTCAAAAATTTCTTCAAGGGATTCAATAATACAGAGAAAGAAAGATGAAAGCATGATAAACAACTTCAGATTAAGTTGTGGTACCTTATTTTTTGTTTTTGTTTCGAGTACTTTAGATTGGCTTAATGAAAATAAAGAAGTATGAAAGGGAAGTGATGGATACGTACGTTTGGTGCTTTGCTGTTAAACATTATTTTTCAATATAGATCTAGGAGATCATAAATCTTATTTTTAGCCAAAGAAATTTCCTATTCTTTGGGCTAATACTTCATTAAATGGTGTCTCAACATGTAATGTTTTGCAAAATTATGCCCGCGTCAACTCCTAGTTTTCTATTTTGAACACCTCTAGTTATGGGAATAACATGTTTAATGATTGATTGGAAAAACCTTCATTGAAAAATTGATTTCAATCTCAAAAAATTCATCTTCAGAAACTCGTTGCATCCCATGAAAATGTCTTGAACTTATTATTTTCAATACAAGGAAAAATGTCCAAACAAGATCTTAGAACGATATTGTAGACATTGAAATTTTGTGGGACAAGATGTGTTCAATTCGAGTTGGGACTCTACTAATTGTGTTCAACTCAAATTATGATTCTTGGAGGCTAAGGGGGGCAGAGGTCCATAGGCTCTATTAAATTAGAGATCCACATGGAAGATTTGCGATCAAGCGCATGGATGCATGTGATTGACGCAAAGACGTCGTACAATATATTACTTGGCAGACCTTGGGTACATGAGAATAGAATTGTCTCATCTTCTTACTATCAATGTTTGAAGTATCTTGAATGCGGGATTGAAAGGAAGATAGTTGCAGATGATAATCCTTTCACTGAAGTTGAGACACACTTTGCCGATGTGAAATTCTATTTGAAAAGTTATGTTGTTAAAGGGGCCAAATCTAATGATGTAAAATCAATCATGTCCGATAAAGTCATAAGCAAAAGAATCGATGTGGCAGTTAGAATGGTAAACGTTGACACCAAAGAACTTTGTCCCATTCTTAATGAAGGGAAGATAATGTCTTCGAAGAAGAAGCTGACTTCTAGACTTTGCTATGTTCCAAAAGTGAAGAAAGAAGAAGGTCAATCATCTAACTTCAAGAAAATGTATTGAGAGGGCTAACTCTTCCTATTAGACGGATTGATGCAATAAACTTGTCTTCAAAGCTGCCAGAAAAGTCAATCTCTCAAAATCAAGTGCGAGATGTGGCGCTCCCTACAAAACGCACAAGAGAAGGCTTTGATCACGATGCTTACTAGTTATTTGTGAAAGTTGGATACAACCCTGATGAGCCATCAATGTTAGGGAAACTTGTATCAGAAGATACAACTAGGCAAGCACGTGAAGGCCTAGGCTATAGCCAACCACCACCAATTCACATTTCCATAAGAAGGGCAAGCAACAACCATATAACTTTTGAAGATGACGTCGCTACTCCCAACAAAAAGCCTTCCGTCTTTGATCGACTGGGATAATCGACTACAAGAACTTCTGTGTTTGAGAGGTTAGGTCTATTGAAGAAAAACAAGAATCTGAAAAGTTATTTAAAAGTTACAACGCCTGCTTCACATTTGGTTCGAAAGGATTTCAAAAGTTCGATTCCTTCTAGAATGAGGCGACGAGTGGAACTTGTAGTTTCATGTAAAGAAAACTCAAGGCAAATGTTCACATTGTGGTCTACACCAAGGAGCGCGAGGAAGATGAAGAAAGTGTAGGCTCCTCAAATCATATTACAATTCAAAATTAGTACGATTATTTGCCTCAAATGAAGATTGATGAAGAGTTGGAAGATATTGTCTGGTGTTGTCATAAATCTGTCAATGACAATGATCCTTTAGAAGAGAGAAAATTCTAAACAAGAAGCTAGAGAAAATTCGTGGTACAAACGCCATAAAATTCTCTATAAAGCTACAAGTTTAAGAATTCAAACATTCAAGTTCAAGAACGATCAAGATCAAGACCATCAGATTCAAGAACAAGCTCGAAGCCCTTGAATTCAAGTAAAGGTCAAGATCAAGATAAAGTTCAAAGTTCAAATTCATCGAAGATTCAAGAACAAGCTTTAAAACCCTTGAATTCATATTTGAAAAGGTGAATTTAGAGGAATCATAGAGATTGTAACACTAGTACTTTGAAATAATAGATACGATTGTTGCTATAATTTTCCGTTCTTGATTATTGTTTTCTCGACGCAAATTTTATTGTCTACGAATTTCTGGCTTGCCCAGTGGGACAATCTCTACCTCTCATCTCAACTTTTTAAGCATAAAAAAACATGGAGATGACTTACATGAAGAACAACTCTCGATCAACTGCCTCTAAGGCCACTAGCTCCAAGTTCTCTGCTGAAGTTGAAGGCATTCTTGATGTTACCTTTGGAAGTTTCGGAGTTGTTACGAGAAATAAAGCTGCTACGCTAGGACAACAAACATTGCAAGTGTCGTCCGCATCAACTCCTGTTTTTGGGTCTTCAACTCCAAAAGAGAAAGTTCCTCCACAAATGCTTTGGAAGGAGGAAACAATATTGCTGAAAAGATCAAGGAGAATTGTCTCTACTTGAGCAATCTGGTTCCAAGAATTCTACCAAAGGGAGAACTATGATTCAACTAATGAATCATCTCCATATGCATCACGTAACGTGAGTCCGCTGAAGATTAACTTATGCGACAATCCATGCTACTCTCCTACATCTTCAATGATCATGCAAACGATGGTAACTATTGCTTCCTTTCCTGATGAACAACTCGCAAATCTGACAAAGTTGGTTGAAGGATTGACAAAGCATGTACAACACCAAGAGTCTCAAATTGATAAGTTGATGGATAGGATGAAAGAACTTTTAGATGGAGAAACGAGTCATGCACCTTGAAAGGGTGTTGAAGTTCAAGAGATCGGAGATCCTGCGAAGAAAGTACCGCTTGTTAATGAGATGCTAGTTTTTTCTGAAGGAATGATCCCACTTGATCGCTTGAAAGAGTGTATCGAAGGCACTATCAAAGATAAGTATTAAGTCTCCACCAAGTCTTCTCACATGTATGCCAAGCCATACATTGCAAGCATTGATAACTTTAAAATGCCTGCTGGTTATCAACCTCCCAAATTTCAACAATTTGAGGGTAAAGGAAATCCAAAACAACATGTTGCATACTTTGTGGAGACATGTAATAATGTTGGAACCTATGGTGACCATCTCGTCAAACAATTTGTCCGCTCTCTAAAATGAAATGCCTTTGATTGGTAGACGAATCTTGAACCTAATTCTATTTATAGTTGGGAGCAACTAGAGCACGAATTTCTCAATCGCTTCTATAGCACAAGGCGTACGGTGAGCATGGTAGAACTCACAAATACTCACCAAAGGAAGGATGAACCGGTTATAGATTTCATAAATCGATGGAGGAACGCGAGCATAAATTGCAAGGATAGGCTTAGTGAAGCTTCTGCAATCGAAATGTGTATCAAAGGAATGCACTGGGAGCTTTTTTACATCGTACAAGGAATAAAACCAAAATCCTTCGAAGATCTAGCTACTCGCGCTCCTGATATGGAGTTAAGCATGTCATCTGCTGGAAAAGATATGACGTATGTCCGAGACCCTCACAAAGGAAGCGACAAGCAGGAACCCAAGAGATAGAGTAAATTTGTGCCTAGAAATGACAATAAAGAATCCATGAATGTTAATGTATCACCTGCGAAGATCACTACGAATGAGGGCATGAAGAAAAATGTGAGAACGGCTTTCCAAGCACGTTCAAATCAAAAGTCAACACTAAGGGAGATGCAAGATAGAAAATATCCCTTCTTGGATTCTGAGGTTTCTGAGATTTTTGAAGAGTTGCTCGAGTTAAAGCTCATTGACTTGCCAGAGATGAAGCGACCCGATGAAGCTAGAAAAGCTGATGACCCAAATTATTGCAAGTATCATAGACTTGTGAGCCATCCTCTGAAAAATGTTTTGTCTTCAAGGATAGAGTGATGCGATTGGTTAACGAAAAGAAAATTGTCCTTGATGATGAGAAGGCTAATTCTAACTAGATCTCTATCACGCTCGGCTCACTCGATCCGGTCCAAATATATATCTCTGAAAAGCATGAAGAAGAGTCATTGGAGCAGGAAGTTGATATAGATGGTGACAAATGCTGGAATCTTGTAACTAGACGAAGACGCAACAAGTCAAGCTTACGAAAAGAACCATCCAAGCCACCGATTAGAGGGAAAATGGTGAAGAAATTGGAGAAGCAGAAATCAATCAAGCGCCCAAAGAGGGCAAAGGTAGAAGTGAATCACTACCAAAAACCCCTTTAACAACATAACTTTTCAAATAGAATTTCGCATCGGTAAAGTGTGTCTCAACTTGGTAAGAATTCCTCTAGAGTCACAGGACATCGGGGTTTTTGGTAGTGATGCACTTCTACCTTTGCCCTCTTTGAGCGCTTGATTGATTTCTGCTTCTCCAATTTCTTCACCATTTTCCTTCTAATCGGTGGCTTGGATGTTTCTTATCGAAAGCTTGACTTGTTACGTCTTCGCGTAGTTACAAGAATCCAGCCTTTGTCACCATCCAGATCAACTTTATTTCTAAATATAAAATCATATATAATTTCCGTCCTGTTCGATTATCTCAAGGAAAATCGAAAATGATATTATAGGAATATCTTGACTATGTGGGATGGTCCAACTAACGCCATAATTGTTTTAAAAAACAAGAATGGTCCAAAGTCCGTACTTATATGAGTTCTCTAACATCCTTCCTTTTGTCTTATTCCCCTAATCCAACTATAATTCACATTGAACAAAAAAAAGAACAACATAAATCATTATTTTAAACGGATAGCAAAATTAAATAATTCATAACACATTAGCACCTAAGATTAATTAAATTGTTAAAAAAAGCTCAACCGTGGAAAAAATTCTTATTTGATTTACTAAACAACGCAAGTTAGACTCTATGCTTTTTTCAAGTACTAAAGCCAAATATATGCAAATTGGAAGGCAGAAAATTTCAAACGTATCGATAATGACATCCATATGGCCTACTCCTACAAAGATGTATTATTAATATTTCTGTTGGGTCAAGTCTATACGGATCGACAGAGACATTTTAATGGTATGTAACATAATTATTTTTCTTTGTTGTTATATTTTGATTTTGGTGAAAAAGATTGGAAGTATATATTTATATATATACAACTAGCTGAATTAATAAATGTAGAAAGTATAAAATATAAAACATCAATTGTGCTATTGTGGATTTGACTTGTCTTATAAGTTGAAGTAGAACCAGCTCCTCTCCTCTCGGACTCAGGTGTAGTTCAGTTCCAGTACTAAACATTTTCTTAGAAAATAAATATTCCAGAATATAATACTCCCTCAGTCCCTTTTTATTTGTACAATTTGGACTTTTTACTGGTTAGTTTTGACAAATCAAGAAAAAATAATATATTTTTCTTTTACGTATTATACTCTCAATTTATTTACAGAATTGATATTTAAAAAAAAGATAAAACCTCTTTAATAAGTAAATTGATTTAGAATGGTAAACTCATTATGTTAATTATTATTTTTCTTAGTAGATGTATCAAATAAAAAGAGTATTATTGAACAAACAAAGTTTTTACTGATATACTAGACTATAAGGGATTGGGTTGTGAGAGTCTGTGAAAACAATCTCTCTAAGAACTGACAAATTAAAATCTGCTACCTTATACTCTCAAGACCCCATTTTGTCAGATTACATCAAATATACTGTTATTATTGTTGTAGTATACTATAAAACTTTATCTGGCTCCTCTTTGACTGCTAAACTTGAAAGCTTGTTCTTTAGAGACTTTGAACTCTGTTTTGTTTTTTCTCTCAAGGACAATAATATGCTTGCTTTTGACTAATTTGTAAATAAATGCTCTTGGTTTCAGGCTTAAGCAAAGGTGTGATAATAGTTATCGTTTTTGCAATGATAGCTTTCTCCATGCTGTTTCTCTTTGTTGCCTACGTAGCTCGTAAAAAATCGTTAAAGCGAAAACAAGGTATCATAAAAGAAACTAACCTTAATTTGTCAATTTAAACAATCGATCAGTCGTATATGTTATAAACAAATTACATAAATGTTTGCAATTTTTCTTGGCCACAGAATGCATTAATCTTGGCAAGATATCGAATTCATACAAGAGGTCCAGCTTGAACTTTAAATATGAAAATCTTGAAAAGGCAACAAACTACTTTGATCCATCAACAATAGTAGGCCAAGGAGGAAATGGTTCTGTATACATGGGGACTCTTCCTAATGGGAAGGTTGTTGCAGTTAAGAGACTGTTTTTCAATACAAGGCACTGGGTTGATGAGTTCTTCAATGAGGTTAACCTTATCCATGGGATTGAGCACAAAAATCTTGTGAAGTTGTTGGGTTGCAGCATTGAAGGGCCCGAGAGCCTCCTTGTCTATGAGTTTGTGCCTAATAAGAGCCTAGATCAATACCTTGATGGTACGTTATTATCGATGAATTTATATCTATATATGCAGTGACAATTAGGGACGACATCTAATTGAGTTGTTCAAATTTTTGTTGTGTAGATAAGAATAAGATAAAAGTTCTAAGTTGGAAAGAACGATTACACATCCTAGTTGGAACAGCAGAAGGCCTTGCGTTCCTCCATGGAGGTTCAGATATGAAAATCATCCACAGGGACATCAAGAGCTCCAATGTACTTTTGGATGAAAATTTTGAGGCGAAAATTGCTGATTTTGGACTAGCTCGGTGTCTTGAAGCTGATAAAACTCATCTTAGCACTGGAATTGCTGGGACATTGTAAGAATGATAAAACAGCATTCACAGCCTTCTTTTAACTACTTAATTATAACTAGTGATTTTATTTGTTGCGTAGAGGATATATGGCGCCTGAATATCTCGTAAAAGGACAACTCACAGAGATGGCTGATGTCTATAGCTATGGAGTGCTTGTTCTTGAAATTGTTTGTGGAAGAAAAAACATTTCTTTGGCAGACGATGACTCTGGATATCTACTGCAAACTGTAAGAATTAATGTTGTACATTTCTCTTAAAAGTTTGTTGGTAACAAATTGAACCTGTCATTTTTTATTTCAGGTGTGGAAACTGTATACAACAAATCAAGTGACTAAAGCATTAGACCCTATCTTGAAAGATGATTTTTCACCAGAAGAGGTATCAAAAGTCCTCAAAGTAGGGCTTTTATGCACTCAAGCTTCTGTTACCTTAAGACCATCAATGTCTGATGTTGTCCAAATGCTAACAACATTTGGTCAACCGATTCCGGAACCATGCCAACCACCATTCTTACGTTCAAGCAGTAGCATAAAAAGATTCGTCTCCGATACACTATCCAAACTTGATGAATCTTGTATCTCCTCTGCCATGCATAGCTCATCAGATGGACCACACATTAACTGATCAAGAATTCTTTTCAAAACCGTCTCTACTGGAAACATATATACAAATTAAAAGAAGTGGAATTTCATGATGTATATAAGTGAAAATGAAAATTTTGCACAACATTTTTGTACCGTTCGAACTAGTAGTGATTACATGTTGCATTTTTACGATTTGATTTTACTTTAACTCTTCGACTTATTGTATGAAAATTCCTCTACATACCCTTTTTAAAAATATTCTTTTATTTACCCCCTCTAATTGAAGATCGATTTTTTTTTTTTTTTAAGATGGACAGTTGTTAGTATATTTGAAATGGAAAGGAGTCTAAAAATACCCTTGAATTCTAGGGAAAAGGGTTTAAAAATACCCTCCGTCCACATTTTTTGGTTTGAAAATATCCTTCTATTCATCTTTTTGGGCTAAAAATATCATTCATTTCACCTTTTAGTTTACTTATATCTTTGAAACTAACAACTTTTTCTTTATTTTCATTTTTAAAACATATTTATTATGTATCATTTTATTATTGGATGAAATATAACTCTCACCTCTATTATTTTTTCCCCATAATTTATTTAAATCAAAATAATACTCCCTCCGTTTAAAAAAGAATGACATTATTTTTGTTTTTAATCTGTTTCAAAACGAATGACCCCTTTCCTTTTTTGGCAACACTTTAACTTCAACTTTCCACGCGACATGTTTAAGACCACAAGATTAAAGAGCATTTTGGTACATTTAAAATAACTTTAATTTAGAACCACAAGATTAAAAAGTCTTCTTTCTTTTCTTAAATTTCGTTCCAAGTTAAACTAGACCATTCTTTTTGAAACGGAGGGAGTACAACTCTTCAAGATCTCATTTTTTTATTTTTATTTTTGTATTTGTTGTAGGTGTTTTGTAAAAAATAATTTGCTTTGGGTTCAATAAATTATGGGAAAACTCTAAATAAATCTTTCAAAACAAAAACTAGTTATTTGAACCATAAGTTTGATATATACTTACTCTATACGATGTGGATAATATAGTACAAAGTCTATAAAAACAATATAACAGCCATGGAACTGCGAATCCCTTAGCACATCATAGTGGGTACTATGGGTCACATGACACTTCTTTTTCTCCACATTCTTTACCTCTTTTGCACCGCGCTTACCTACCTACACAGATTATGCCTGGACCACAACTCTTATCAATATAGGATATTATCTTGTACTCCATCTCTCACAACTACATTTCCTCACCTATCAGGCCCGAGACTTAGAGATTTCAGTATTGACTCGGATGCTATGACTTATATTCCTTCATTGACACATGTTATGTACATCCTAGAGTATCACCTACACCTTCACATTCACTTGTTGCTACACCCGATGAGGAGTAGATGATATACCGTGAGTTTACGGTATTTTTAATACATTTCACTTAAGAGTTATGTGTGTCTAGAGCCTTTTTATATTGGTTTTTATGTGTTTTTATCATGTTTTGCAGGAAAGATGTTTAGGCGCGGAAGTAAAGAGACAGCTGAAAGAAATGCAGAAAAGGGCATCTACAGAGGTGATCTACGGACCGTAGGTCCTTTGACGCTCCGTAGATGGTGGTCGTAGATCAGCAGGGCAAGGCATGGAAGGGGAATCAGGGAATCTGACGAAGTGTGGAACCACGGTGACCATTGACAGTCCGTGAGTTAGTCTCGTGGAATGAAGATGCGTGCCTGAACAAACTTTTCTTATTTTGTTTTCCTTTTAATTTAGGACTCGTTTTCTATAAATTGGGCATGTAACCTCGTTTTTGGGGGTTAGACTTTGTTACTTTTATTCTAGTTCTTGACTTGGGAGATGAATTTGCAACTTTAGCAATTCTTAATTTCCTAAGTTTGGTTTGAAGATTTTTACTTTGAAATTCAAGTTGAGATTTTGGGTTTCTTCTAATTATTACGTAAGTTCCTGATTTCTTCATCTAAAAATATGAATTGTGTTCTTGCTACTATGGGTAACTAAATCCACAACTAGGGTTGTGGAAACCGTGAGTGATTAACAACGTATGAATAGTAACAAAGTAATTCTTGAATAGTGTTAGTGCATGCATTGATAATTCTTTCGTTTAGAAGTCTTTTTAGCGGTTACAAACGTTAGAACTCGCCTTGTTACTACTTGCCGGACCAATGAGGTAGTTAATAAGAAAAGAATTATCAACATAGATTTAGTGTGATACTATCTAATAGAATTAATGTCGATTGGTGCGAGGGTGAAAACTAAGTCATACATCGATGTGACGTATAATATGAGTTAATGGTAAGGGTTGATAAATTATACACACGTAGCCGGACCAAGGTGCGGGGTGAAATTCTCTAGATGCCGGACCAAGGATTTAGATATATATAACTTATAGCTTTACATGTAATACACTAGAATAGGATTGCTATTACTAGGTTTACCACGTTATGAGCTTATGGGGAACATGTACACCCTAGTTACTTTCTCATCTTGATAACAACTAAAGTTTGAATCTTTCTCATTGATTACTTACATAATTTCTTGAATTTGTTTCACAAACCCCCCCTTTTTAATTACTTGTTTTCGAAAATACATTGGCTACATGAATATAATCATCAGTTATGTTTAAGTCTAAACCATATTCGTCGTGGGATCGACCCCAACCTACAAGTTGGGTTCTTTACTTGATAATGATCACTTATGCTTCTTTAGGGAGGAGAGTTAGGTGAAGGAGAATAATCAAGTGCCAGCTGAAAATAGATTGGGAGATGCATTGAGTGGACATGACCCACAAGGACCACGACAGTCAGACAATTTTAGGGTCAACCTTAATATTCCCGATTCTGATGGACCTCTTGTCCTACCTCCTCTACCTCAGGGGCATACATTTGTGGTGACCAGTAGCTTGATGCAAATTCTTACAACGAGGGGTTTGTTTGCGAGTTTGCCAGCGGATGATCCACATGTCCACATAGCCAAACTAAACCATGTCTGCAAAAGCTACATCGGTCGACCTGAGTGGGATATAAACGTCATTGGGTTGCGAGTGTTTCCCCTACATTGACCAAGGATTATATTGTGTGGTTCAATGAACTCCCTTACAACTCAATCTATACATGGGAGCAGTTGGCAGAGGCGTTCCTAGTAAGATTCTTTCCAGTGTCCAAGAAGCTGAATAAAAAGGACAAACTCAACAACTTTGTGGAACTACCTGGAGAGTTTGTGAGTAGTTCTTGGGACAGGTTCACTATCTTCATGAGAGGTGTCCCGAATCACCGTATTGATGATGAGTCGTTGAAGGAGTACTTCTACCGAGGACAGGATGATAATGGTAAGGCAGTGCTGGATACTATTGCAAGAGGTTCGTATGGTGAATGCACTTTTGCACAAATTACAGAGAAAATGGAGAAGATATCTCGAAACAATAAAGCTTGGAGCACTAGAAAGTCAGATACTGGGAGGAACACGTTTGCCATTCAAGCTACAAACAACCAGGCTGCAAATGAGATTCGTGAGGAGATGGCCAAGATGAGAACTGAACTAGGGTTGGTGTTAAAGCATGTAATTGGAGGAGCGGAGAAGGTGAATGCTGTGAACTATTTGACTAGAACTCCACCACCGGGAGAGGAGTATTACTTTGAAGAGGATGCTTATGCGGTGAATGAGCAGATGGGGGGTTTTCGACCAAACGCCCAAGGTTCCAATCTAGATAATTGGTGCTAAGGTCAAGGAAACCAAGGTCGAAACTATGACAACTACAAACGAGAGGGTCAATATATCCGGGATGAGAACTATAATCGCGACAACAACTACACCCGAATCAACTATGGCAACAAAAATGATCGGGTTGGACCTTATGTTCCCCCTAAAAATTGGGAATCTGGTCCTAGGGAAGCTGGAAGTAATATGCCATGTATTTAGGATATGATGTAGAAGATGATGATGAGGTTTGATGCAACTGATGAGAATGTGAAGGAGATGAGATATGACTTGTCTGGTATTGGTAAAAAAGTTGATGCCCATGCAGTGTCAATCAAGCATCTTGAGCAGCACATGACTCAGTTGTCAACTATAGTAAATCAATGTCACTGACACTCTTCCTAGCAACACCATTCATAATCCAAAGAATGATGGGCATTGTATGGAAGTCACTACTCGGGGGGGGGGGGGGGTAAGCAAACCATTGATCCACATATGCCGTCTGGGGTGAAAATTGAGAATAGTAAAGATGATGATGTGGTCGAGGTAAGTGGGGAGTCCAAGAATGCGACAAAGAAAGAAGCGGAGGTAACTCAGAAAATTGTCCCTATTCCTAGACCTCCACCTCCCTTTCCACAGAGGTTAGTGAAGAAGAATGAAGAAGGCAAATGCTGCATATTTATTAGCATGTTGAAACAACTTTCAATCAATGGTCCGTTGATAGTAGCTATAGAGCAAATGCTGCATGTTTATTAGCATGTTGAAACAACTTTCAATCAATGGTCCGTTGATAGTAGCTATAGAGCAAATGCCTGGGTATGCAAAATTTATGAAGGACATGGTGACAAAGAAGAGGGCAGTGAGCTTCGAAGATGATGATAGATTGCAACATTGTAGTGCTATTGCTACAAGGTCCCTTGTACAGAAAAAAAAGGATCCTGGTGCCTTCACTATTCCATGTACTATCGGGTTGTTACATTTTTTTAAGGCACTGTGTGATCTTGGTGCTAGCATTAATCTGATGCCATTGTCTATTTACAAGAAGTTGGGTCTGGGAGATCCAAAACCGACTGTGATACGGTTGCTCATGGCAGATAGAACTGTGAAGAGGCCCATTGGTGTGCTCCATGATGTACTAGTGAAAGTGGAGTCTTTCATCTTTCCGGCGGATTTTATGATTCTTGACTGTGAGGTTGATTTTGAGGTTCCCATCATTCTTGGGAGACCATTCCTTGCCAATAGGCGCGCTTTAGTTGATATGGAAAAGGGGCAGATGAAGTTCAGACTGAACAATGAAGAGGCAATGTTTAATATCTGTAGGTCGATGAAGCAGAGTAGTGAGCTCAAATCAGTATCTGCGATAACATATAGAGTTTAGAGTGGGTCTGAGGTGCAGATTGAAGAGAGACTGGGTGTTGAGGCACTAGCAGCGGTCATGATGAACTTTGAGACTGATGGTATTGAAGAGTTTGATGAGTTGGTCGCCACACTTGATAGGTGCGAATATCGTTCAAAACCAAAGAAGTTGGAGTTAGACAT